AAGAGAATGTTTTAAAAGTTTTTAACAAGGGTTTAAACTTGTTTAGTGTTTGTTTAAGTTTGGTTTAAGAAGCTTTTAAGCAATTGAGGGTTTGAGTTTGTGAATTCAATTTCACAAGAGCAAGTGGAGATCATCCTTTGGTGTTTGAGCATTCACTCTTCTCCTACTCTCTTGTCATCTTTAGAGAAGTGTTTCTAAACTCATCTAGCAATTTATTATTTTGATTATAATTTCCATAAGCTAGATTTATATTTGAGTTTAGTTTAATTGTTTTATTGATACTCTTTGTTCACACACAACCTATTGAGCTTATTGTATTTACATTCATAGTATAATTTGGGGTTGTGGGTTTGTGACTAAGAGTTGTGCTTAATTGAGTTCTCACCTTGTTTTGAGAACAATCATTTGTCATATTTGTGCTTATTGTGAGAATCACTTTGTAATACACTTGTACACCGAGTGAGGAGTGTGTGGTGAGAGTCGGGGATCGTCCCAAGAGGAGTGGCGTCGGTTGACGTGCCTAGGGAGAGGTTGTAACCGAGCACTTGAGGGAGACACGGCTAGGTCCAACACTTAGTGGGTGTAGAGTGTGATTACAAGAGTGTGAGTTGTAGAGTTTTCGGTTAGCTAGAAAACCGAGTGTGTAGAAGAAGTTCCGGCTTCCAAACCGGATTGTGTTAGTGGATTTCTCCCCGGGAGTGGGGAGCGGAGACGTAGGACGGAAGGTCCGAACTCCGTGATCATATAGTGTGTTTGAGTGTGCTTTGGCGTTCATTTATATTCATGCTCATATCTTATATCGCCTTTGTCATTTACTCTTAGTTCATATTATCCACTATCTTGTTTATCTTGTTTATGTTTATACCACCCTTAGTTTCATATCCTTGCATATAACTCATAGTATATCTCATTGCTAGGATATATCCCTTGTTCATATTGTTTATCCTAGCTCACATATCTTGTTGTATTTTATACTTGCTAGGATAACTTATTAATTAGTTTTAATTGGCATTTAATCGGATTAGATTAGCATAAGACCCTAATCACCCCCCTCTAGGGTCTAACATAAACTGCAAGACACTTATCCACTGCTCAATGGAGATTAACAATAATATTTTTAGAGGTATAACACATATATTTACTTAAGAATTCTCATCAAATAAAACCATGCATAATTAAAAAATTCTCATTGGGGTACTTCTGCAAATACACATAATTTAGGGGGTTATATATGGAAAAACCAAGCCGGAAATAAAAAAACAAAGAAACGACTAGATAAGGTACTATCTTGATCCTAACGTCGATACAAAGGCTTTGAAAAAAGATAGAAAATTCAAATCTAATATCGTTAAACCCATAACTCTGAATCCGGCTTCAGTGCCCAAACCAACGATAAAAAGGAAAGGAATTCAAATCTAATATCCATTAAGCCCCACAAATCTCACGTACAAAAGGAAAGAATTCCAAATCTAAAAATGTATTAAGACCATGAATCTCAAATCTCAAGGCATTGATGCTAAATTACTAATCCCAATCAGGATAACACAATCTAAACCTTATTAATCCTACAACTACGTAACTAAAAAGCCTACGTACATACACAAGGGCTCTTTAAAAAAGCGCAACAAGAAAGTTAATATTTGATCACATGAGTGCTTTCAACAAGAGCAATCCCGCCGGCGATCGTCGTCCCAAGCCGGAGTACGGCGTCCTCTGCGTGTTTCAGGAGAACCGTCCTACGTTGGACGACGACGTAGACCCGTTCCTCGAAAGTCTCAACAACGGCACGGCAATAGTGCTGTCCGAGCCTGACCGCTACGACCGCCTCCCCGGCCCGAAGAAAGTAGAGCGAAGGGTGAGGAGATGTAGCTCAATGGAGAGATCGAGATTCTTGAAGAGTTATACATTAAAGAAGAAGGAGAGCGCCATGAAGAAGACTGTTAAATTTTTTGCTAGGTTAAATCCTTTCGGTAAAGTACTATAATTTGACAGTGGAGTACGTTTTGTAGTAGTGGTGGCATTGTAAGATTTTTTTTTTTCAATTTTTTTTAAAGAAATCTAAGAGATTCTAATTCATTACATCAAAGAAAATTTGGTTACAAATATAGTGTGGGCAGTCCAGTGCATAAGAAAAGAGGGTAACTTAATGCAATTGCGAGATTGTATATCCGCTTCTAGATTTATGCTATTTTGAGTTAATTGAATTAACTTCTTGATTTTTTTTAAAAATTATTACTTAATTTCTTTAATTTCTTTTTACGTGCAAGAAAATAAAACGGGTACTTTTGTAATTCTTTATTGGGTTGCATTTGAAGGTAAAAAATTATAATTAAAAAGGGGTGTTTTTTTTTTTGGGGGTGGGGGGGTGGGTTTGGGGGGGGGTGGGGTTCTCTTTTCTTAAGTAAAAACATGCAATTTCTAATTGAAGTATCTAATTTGTTTAATTTGCAGATGATGCAAAGGAAAAAGAATTATGAGCGCTGGAGAAGTACATTTCGTTAATCTAGTTTGTTTAGTAGATGTTGCAAGGGAAAAAGAATTATGAGCGCTAGAAAAGTACATTTCGTTAATCTAGTTTGTTTAGTAGATGTTGCAAGGGAAAAAGAATTATGAGCGCTAGAAAAGTACATTTCGTTAGGATTAGCGAATTTTTATTGTTAGAATGCAAACTATTAGAGATATGTGATTAGATTTGTTAGAGGTTGAATCTTCAAAGTGTATTTATACTATATGTTTTTTTTAAATAAGATTATCTTGATAGAATACAATTTGTCAAATCAAAGCAACTCGCTAATTAATCCAGTGATCTGATCCATAAGATGCGAAGTCTTAGGATAGTGTTCTGATAAGTATTAGTCTTGGATTTGGGCTTGGACCTGGGCCTTTAATCAGGATTAATCCAGTTACGTTTTTATTATAGGAACACAAAAGCTTGAGAATAAAGTATTTATAGCTATGGAATTTGAACTTCTAATCCATTGAACATTGTAAAGAAAAGTTAGCACTTGTAATATTCCAACACGACACTTATATTTGTCCTCTTGGAACTAATTAAGAAAAAAAAAATCCCTCAAGAAGTAGTTTATGCGCATCTAAAGCAAAATTCCAAAACAAGAAGAACATCTTTCTCGCGAGCGAAGGCATTTCATTGGTTCCAAATTATAGAATTCCCCTCTGTTTATATATTATCTAAATTTTGGCCCTCCGAGCCCCTCAAAATCCACAGTATCCGATGAGTTGCATCCCGGACCACGTTAAGACTGTCACGTGAGGACCCCCATGAACCCAAGACCCAACGAAGATGCATTCACGTGGCCCTTGTCTTCTGGCCCAAAACCAACTGGGTCTTCGTCGTTTGTGGATCACTGGGGTCACCGGTTAAGTAAAATAGACCAACGAGAACAAATTGATTCGTCAACCAATCATCCGATCTTTAATTACTTTAGGTCAAGTGTACGCCCTCTGGAAATTTCGTTTCAAGGACTCTATTGTTTTTTATGCAATTTTTTATTTTGTTTTTTGATGGTGAAAGGCTTCTTGATGTCACGTGGTCCAAAGAAGATCCCTGCAAATGTTGTTTAAGATGTGAAATGTTGTTTAGCACCTTAGGTTACAGGCTTTTTGCAAATACATATGCATATATTTTGCAAAATATCGCAAAAGGTCTCTAGCATTAACTTATTTCTATTTGACTTTTTATTGAGAACTAAACTATTAGAAAGTATGAATCTGCCCTTTATAGTCTTTTTCTTTGCTAATAATCTTACTTTACAGCTGGTTTTCTAAAACTATTCTTTTAGTTAATTTTTTTATTAAGAATTGTTTCGTTCTCATATCATTATACAATTGTTTGTTGTCAATTGTTACGAGGTTTTCAAGTTAAATAAGATTTCCATTATCTTGATATGTTTATATATAATTTATGAAGTATAAGTTGAATAATGCAACTATGTTTAGTAGATTATATTTATACAGTCCGGTTAGGATATCCTAAGAATATCTTTTTTTTCACTATTCCAACAATCAAACCTATTCTCTTATGCTTATTTCAACAAAGTCTAACCCTGCTAATTTTCTAATGCTTTTATTTTTGTGAGGAAAAATGATAAGTAGCAGTGTGTCTGGTGGCTACAGTTTTTGCATCAATGGGGTACTATAATAACAACCATGTAAAATTTTGGTAGTTCAAATACTACATATAATTATCTTGTAAAAATTTGTCTGGATTCAATGTAGGAAATTATTTGACTCTTCGACTTTGTAGCTAAGAAAAATCAAATGAGCCAATTTTTGTACAGAATGAAAATTTAATCACTAAAAGAGTATTTCAAAAGATTTACCTATGGTTCGTAGTTACGTTTTGCAAATATCCAATAACTGGAGGCTGTTCTGCAAATAGGCTTCCCAAAGAGGTTAGCGCCGAAAGCGAAAGCGGAACCGGAACCCATCGTCGCTTTAAAAAGGCGTCTCTCTCCTTTCTTCACGGAAACGAAAGAGCGAGGACGAGAGAAATCGAAGTCGAACTCCAACCGATTTCGGTAACCAAACCCTAGCTCTCTCGTTCTTCGACGCTAAAAATCTTCGAATCCAGGAGATTATTTTAGTTCAATCGCAGTACGTTTTGTTTAGATAGAATTCTTGTTCTAGGGTTTTTGGTTTCATTCGTTTGAGATCCATGCTTTTTTAAAGAAAACTTTCGTGGATTTCCTCGATTTTATTTGAAATATTGGGGTTGATTCTCATCGGGAATGGGAAAAGGAGGGCAAGATCGAGGGGAGAGAGCAGATCTGGACCCTCCTCATTTAAATTTCCCTGCTTGGTCGAAAACGATCCCTGAATGCGAGTCTCATTTCAAGGTCTCGGCCGATCAAGGTCTCACGTCGGCCGAAGCTTTGAAGAGGCTCAAGATCTACGGTCCGAACGAGCTCGAGAAGCACTCTGGGCCGTCGATCTTCCAGCTAGTTCTAGAGCAGTTCAATGATACTCTTGTCCGAATCCTTCTCGTTGCCGCCGTCGTCTCTTTCGTGCTCGCTTGGTATGATGGAGATGAAGGTGGCGAGATGGGGATCACTGCGTTTGTGGAGCCGTTGGTGATCTTTTTTATCCTTATTGTGAATGCTATTGTTGGGGTTTGGCAAGAGAACAATGCGGAGAAAGCATTGGAAGCTTTGAAAGAGATCCAATCGGAGCATGCCACTGTGAAAAGAGATGGGGTTTTTACCCCAGATTTGCCTGCGAAAGATCTTGTTCCGGGGGATATTGTAGAGCTTAGGGTTGGGGATAAGGTACCGGCCGATATGAGGGTTCTTTATTTGATAAGCTCGACCCTGAGAGTTGAGCAGGGGTCTTTAACTGGGGAGAGTGAGGCTGTGAATAAAACTAACCGGAGAATTGAGTTGTGAGACTCGATATGTTCAGGGAAGAGTGCTATGGTGTTTGCGGGTACTGACTGTTGTGAATGGAAGTTGTGTTTGTATGGTAGTTCAAACTGGGATGAATACGGAGATCGGTAAAATTCACTCGCAAATCCATGAGGCTTCACAAGAGGATGATGATACACCGTTGAAGAAGAAACTGAATGAGTTCGGAGAGGCTTTGACTGCTATAATCGGTGTAATTTGTGCTTTGGTTTGGCTTATTAATGTGAAATACTTCCTGACTTGGGAGTATGTTGATGGGTGGCCAAGGAATTTCAAGTTTTCGTTCGAGAAGTGTACATACTATTTCGAGATTGCAGTGGCTTTGGCTGTTGCTGCAATTCCTGAGGGGTTACCTGCTGTGATTACGACTTGCTTGGCATTAGGGACGAGGAAGATGGCACAGAAGAATGCACTAGTGAGGAAATTGCCAAGTGTTGAGACTTTAGGGTGCACCACTGTGATTTGCTCTGATAAAACTGGGACTTTGACAACGAATCAGATGTCAGCAGTGAGGCTTTTGGCAATGGGGCGGTGGACAGATAGTCCTCGGACCTTTAAGGTGGAGGGAACTACTTATGATCCTTGTGATGGGAAGATTCATGATTGGCCAAGTAGCAACATGGATGCTAATCTTCAAATGATCGCAAAGATTGCTGCTGTTTGCAATGATGCAAGTATTGCTCATTCAGGGCATCAGTATGTTGCCAGTGGGATGCCGACAGAGGCAGCTTTGAAGGTAAGAAACTAATAACCATAAGTTACATGTTTGATTAAATTTCATTTCGTTTCTAAACTTTGCTGTTAAAAGAGAACATATGATATTATCTTTAATTAAATAAATTTTCACTATCTAATTTTACTTGTTGACACCTTTTTATACCTAAGCAGAAGAACCTTATGTTAGTTTTTCTCACGTCTCTTGTTTCATTACTTCATTTTAATTATTGGCCATGTAGTTAGTTTATCTATTCCTGACTTGAGTAGTGCACCATTGAACAATTTTGCCAACATTGTTGAGTAAATATGTATTTATTTAAAAATTTTAATGGACCCTTATTATGTTTTAACCTGTGACTTGCTGTTAGGGCATACACATCAGAAGTTGAGCATATTTATGATTTGTGTGTCCTGTATAAACTGTTTTGTGGGGTTTTAGCTATCGGGGAAAAAAATTATTGTGTCTTTTTTTTCTTGGTGGGAACCATATAATATAGACCTGAATGAAAAACTAGAAGGGTTTGAGCATGATAAGTTTGCGACAGGAGCTATTTTATTGTTGGTGCATTGCATAAATTTGGTTTATCTTGTTACTTTTTAACTTTTAGCATTTTTTCTCTTTTCAGGTCCTGGTTGAGAAAATGGGAGTACCAGCAGGATGTAACCCTTTATTACTGGAATCTGATGGGTTATTACGTATGTAATTTATTTTGTTTTTCCTTTTGTTATTAAACACTATATTTTTTAAGCAGACGTGTTAACTAATCTTTTGCTCATTCTTTTGACTGAAAGGATGCTGTCAGTGGTGGAGCACATCTTCCCAAAGGATAGCAACCCTTGAGTTTGATCGCACTCGAAAATCAATGGGAGTTATTGTGAAATCAAAATCGGGAAGGAATTCCTTACTTGTAAAGGTATTGTCATATTATAACTCTCCCTTTCATCTTGTAATTAAAGCACGTGCTTGAATTGTTAAACTGTTGCTCTCATTTTCCCCATTTTGTTGACATTGTTGTTTGCAGACAAATATAAGACATAATATATTCCTCCACATATAGTAAATTCGTTTTAATAATGGTTTTTGGTGTATGCTTCTTTTTGTAAATTTCATCCCTGCAGAAAGTTAAATTCGGGTTGGAATAAGAGGCGGTTCTCTTAAGCTTGTGGTTGTTGGAAGGATAGATTTAGAATTTAGCATTTTGGTAATTTTGAATATACAATTTATGAGGTTGAAACACGAGAGGGAATGGGCATTGGCAGGTGGTTAAATGGGCAAGCCATGGCACCTTGAAGTCAGTCTTTCTTTCACCTTGAGTATATATATAATAAAGGAAGGACTTTTAAATATATTTGGAAAGATTTAGCTCATTTATTTAATCAATTTAGTATTTTGGTAATTTTGAATATACAAATTATGAGGTTGAAATACGAGAGGGAATGGGCATTGGCACGTTGTTCCATAGGCAAGCCATGGTACCTTGAAGCCAGTCTTTCTTTCACCATGAGTATATATAATAAAGGAAGGACATTTATAATATATTTGGAAAGATTTAGCTCATTTATTTAATCATTTTTATTTTGTGTAAAATAATACATGTACCAATTCCATAGTTGTCTATGCACAATAATTAACATATAGTTTCTTGTAGTAAAGGGATGCATCGTAGAGTTGCTTGTAGTAAACGGAAAGCGTTGATATTCCTTTGAGGAATCCAAGCTGTGATAACTATTTATTGGCTTCATGGTTCTAAGGTTTGTAAGCATCCTGAATTCCTAATTGGGGTTCTTCCATATTTCTTAGAAACAGACCATAATTTGTTGATTGTTGTGCATAGTTTTCTATTTTGTCTTCTTGCATGCGGGATGTAGTTCCCTTCTCTGGACATGTAACTCTGTGTGAGGTAGACGTTTATTTTACCCCTAAGGAATCAGTTCAAAAGTTTATGAAGCAGAATTTTTTAATGACATGTCTGTACATTAACTGACTTGTCCATATCTGTTGTGTCCATATAGTTCTTTTGACATCTGCAGATGTACTTTTCTGCTTCCTGCTTGTGCATTACAGTTTTCTCTGAAAAAGTTTTTCCGTTCTCTTCATGGTTTCATTTCTATTTTTTATAAATATATGATATGTTTTATCTTTAAACCTTTTTTTGTATAATTAATAATTATCTTGTTTATAAATTTTGTGGTGATTGATTGAGAAATCTATTATTGACAGGGTGCTGTTGAAAGTTTGTTAGAGAGAAGTACCTATATTCAGTTGCTTGATGGTTCTGTTGTGCTACTGGATGATACTTCAAAATCTGTTATTTTAGATGCTCTTCATGAGATGTCAACAAACGCTTTGCGTTGTTTGGGTTTTGCATACAAGGACGATCTATCAGATTTCTCAACTTATGATGGCGAAGACCATCCAGCTCACAAGCTCTTACTTGATCCCTCTAATTATTCATCCATTGAAAGTAACCTCATATTTGTCGGCATGGTTGGACTTCGGGTGAGATGATGCATACTGTTCTCTATATAAATATCCAGACATATCATACTTTATATAAACTCCGGTTTCCCACAAATGCATTGGCTGATTTTATTGTCATCATTATTATCGTCATAGGATCCTCCAAGAGAAGAGGTGCACAAGGCGATTGAGGATTGTAGAGCAGCTGGGATTCGAGTAATGGTAATAACAGGCGATAACAAAGAAACAGCAGAAGCTGTTTGTCGCGATATAGGTGTATTTGCACCTGACGAAGATTTCAGCGGGAAGAGCCTCACTGGGAAAGAATTTATGTCTCACCCGGATAAAAAGACTCTTTTAAGACAAAAAGGTGGGCTTCTGTTCTCGAGGGCTGAACCTAGGCATAAACAAGAGGTAGTGAGATTGCTGAAAGAAGATGGTGAGGTTGTGGCAATGACGGGGGATGGGGTGAATGATGCCCCTGCTCTGAAAATGGCTGATATTGGTATTGCTATGGGCATTGCAGGAACTGAGGTAATCTTCTATATAATGTTTGTTCATCTTTTCTTTTTATATTATATCCCGTTTCACATCAAAGTGTCCCTTGATAAAGTTATCTTTTAAGGTTTTCTGCCTGACGATCAACCATATGCGTATGTACCTTTTAAATGTTAGGTACATTTTAGTATGGCATGTACATTATGTATGCGTGTATGTTGCATAATTCATTTTGTGCTTGAATTCATCACATTCAATCTTCCATCAAGTATTTTCTTCCTCAATATAAAGTTGGCAGTTGCATGTTGTGCTTGGTTTTAGTTTTCTTGTTTTCCCCTTTGTTTTGGGCACAAGGGCTTGGGGTGGAGGACTACATGCACGTGTCTAAAAGTTTTCTTAATGCTGGTCAAACCAGTGGCCCCTAGGTTGGCTCAGATCATCAACAGATGTAGCATGTTTGCATCCATATGATATCTTTCCCATGTTTATTTAATCAGAACAATTTTATTTAGGGTGTTGACTTTTGTGGGTTGCACTCGCGAGAATATTGAACTGAGATATGCGAACCCTGCTGTAGTTATCTCAAAATGTCTTAAACTTAAATTGCCGTTTAGCTTAGCCTGTGTAATTGGACAAATCTCCTCTCAATTTTGGATACCACTAGGCAGCTAGTGATGAAGTAGATAAAACTACAGCTAGAAAACTGATGCTTTAAATTTTGTACTATTGATGGTTGTTATTGTCTTATATATTCCATTTAGACTGAAAAAACAGTGAGAAGAGTTGGTAATCCATTCTATGGCTTGCAGTTGTCTTACATATTCCGTTTACATTGGGGTTAGTTGATAGTCCCTGGTAGATTTTTTTGGCCAAGTGATGTGGTTAAACTTTATCTATTTAACACAATATAAACTGTTCAATCTTAACATAAAAAAGTTAATCCCATGTGGATCCAGTTTGACCTAACAAAGAAAATTACTTCTTGGTCCAATTATTTCTTTATTTAAAGAAACTGGATCCGTTTTGACTTACCACTGATTATCACATCTTGCTCTGATGAGAGCTACTGTGGCATCTCTCATGCTGACAATACATTTTACCAGCTTCATGTCTCTATCCGTTGATGTTAATGATTGAAGGGACGGGTTGTACAGAGTACTCAAATCATTTTATTAGTAATTCTTGCCTGTTGTTGATGATGATAGAAAAGTGTACTTTCTGTATTCCAGGTTGCTAAGGAAGCCTCGGACATGGTGTTAGCAGATGATAATTTCAGTACTATAGTTGCAGCGGTTGGTGAAGGAAGATCTATCTATAACAACATGAAGGCTTTTATAAGGTTTTTTCCCCCTTCATATTCATCTTAGTGTTTTCTACATTTTCTTTTAACTTGCTACTCATTGAATTAAATATTGTAGATTTCTTAGTGGGAATAACTTAAATGGTTAATATAGATATGGATATGATTATTTCTGAAGTGAAATCTTGATGAATTTGAGATATGAGACTTTTGTGACTCTGGTGACTAACCGACTTTTGGTAGCTTTAACAAATTTGTTGCTCATAGGCTATGTTTTATTGAGATTGATGTCACTTCGAAGGCATAGGCTCACCTGTGGATCAGCCTTTTACATCATTGATCTAAGAGAGTCACACAGCTACTTTTATAATATTTATGTATTGTTACTTTGGGGAAAAGGGAGGAAAATAGTCGAGTAGACCTTTTCCCTGCTATACAGAGGGCTGTTACGAGCTTTTAGGCTTTGATATATTATGCACAGGGCTAAACTTGCAGTGACCAAATCCAATGAGACATGGACATAAATGCTATTATTCCTTACCTTCTGATTGAATACACTGGGAAGATGTCATACCCCAAGTGAATAATCCAAGATGATCATGATTTAATGGTAAGGTTTTAAATGTCGGATGTCAGGTTCATGTCAGATAGTGGAAATTAGGGATATATCGGGGGACATGGACTAAATATCGGATTGTCATATCGGGTGGTACGCATATGTATAATATCACGTCTTAAATGTAATCTAACCATTCCTAAATTCAATATAAGCATACTTTATAAATTCTAGAGGGGGCGCCGGCGATGGGTGGATTCCGACGTCACAGGGAGGTTGTGCCGGGGCTCTTCTTCTTCTTCTTTGTCTGCTTGGGTTCCTTCGGATGAGTTACCCCGACGACGGGATACCCTGCCGCCCTTGGGTTCGGTTGGGGTTCGGATTTCGGGGCGTAACGGGAGATGGACGATGGGGGTATGAGATGGAGGTGGGGAATGGCGTCGTCGTTCACGAAACGAGTGATCGGTTCTCAAGTTCGTTGTAACCCTAATTTTTCTTTTTTTTCCAGTCGGGTTCATAAGAAACCCTTAAACATGAGAACGGGTCAAACGTGTTTGGGTTTTTATCACTAAACCCAAACCCGATAGCAAAAAACAGATCTAAAAAAAGGGTCGTATCGGCCGATTTTTCAAGGCTGAAAAATCGGCCGATATGCCTGATATGGCCCCGATATTTCCGATTTGGCCCTGAAAACCGACATACGAGTTGAAAACGTCCACGTCGTGTCACGCAAGCCCTTAAACCGACATGTCGGCTGATATTTAAAACCTTGTTTAATGGATCTTTGATACAAAAGCATGCCTATGTAGCTAATAATGTTGACGATGGAGCCATTGAAAATTTTTGTAGTAAGCATGTTCAACTTATCAACTTCACAACAAGTGACCTGTTGATAAGTCCTTGCTCGATAAATGATATATAGTATCAGATCTTAACACCAGCCGAAGGTGCATAAAATTAAGTACCGCATGGAGCAAAGTCGCACCACACTAGGATGTCCTTGGTGGCTCATTTTTGAACTCTATATCACCTAGTAAATTATTAGGGCAAGCGGAAGAGTACGTCGCACATACTTAGTGAATAGTTCAACATGGAACATGAGCTAGAAGATCTAAGGTATAATACTTCTTATGAACTCAGGTAATCTATCTTAGCTCGCATTTTTCGAGGAAGGAACCACTGAAAAACGTGTAGATGAGTGTGCTGTGTCAATTAATCTCAGGGTGGTGGGCACATCACTTTCTTTCAATTTTACGGGTGGCTATTTTTCCTTACTTCTATTTCTACAAGCAGTAATATGGTGATTGGCATCACTTTCCTTGTATAGATGATAACATCCTTTCCAGATAGTTGTTAAAAAAATGATGATTAAGTGCCTAATTTCATGTGTTCTTGTTACTATCTTAGGTACATGATCTCATCAAATATCGGTGAAGTTGCCTGCATATTTTTAACTGCAGCACTAGGAATTCCTGAAGGGCTGATACCGGTTCAACTCTTATGGGTCAATCTTGTCACTGATGGCCCTCCTGCTACAGCTCTGGGATTTAATCCACCAGATAGAGACATTATGAGAAAACCCCCACGGAGAAGTGATGACTCATTAATTAATGCATGGATTTTATTTCGCTATCTGGTAAGATACGCTCTTATCATATTTTGTCATTTTTAATACTTCAAAGACCTCCATTAAACAATTTCATCTGACTTCAGATGCTAAATATGAAAAGGGGTACTCTATTCCTCTGGAAAATAAGTTGAGTACATATATAGATAATTTTAGAGGCCATGTTCCTGCCTTATTCCATCTCTGTCGTTACTTGGCTACTCAGTCAAGTATCTTTAACATTTGAATAAACAGTGGATTGACATAGTTGTTTTCAAATATATATCAAATTTTAATATGGAGGACGAGCAGTTGTTTTCTTGAATACTGTCATTACAGGCATCTAGATTCTTTAAAGTTCCTTAGTCGCCTACTATTTTCTCATCCCTCTCTTTTACTTTATTTCTCTTTGTAGAAATGATTCAAATACAACCAGAACTCTCTGAAAAGAATCATTTTTCTATTCCAAAACCTGATATTATATAATCTGCTATTTTGTTACCAACTTACTGAGAATCAATTAATTGTGCATGACTCTGGTCTCTCTCAAAAAAGAAAGGGTTAATTGCTGATAAACCCACAGTACTACCGCCTAATTGAGTGTAGACCCCCTATAGTTCTATTGTTGCAGATAGACCCGCTGAGAAAGAGTTTTTTTTGGGGGGGACAAATATATCTCCTGAGGGTAAAAGAGTAACAAAATATCCACGCATGTCATCTATATGCAACAATAGAACTGCAGGGCATTTATCCGCAATTGGGTGATAGTACAGGGGATCTGTCCGTAATTAACCCAGAAAGAAATGCCTGCTGGCCTTTCCTGAAGAGACTGACTTCATTTATTTGTGCAACACGCAGGTCATTGGACTTTATGTGGGAGTTGCCACTGTTGGTGTCTTTATTATATGGTACACTCATGGCTCTTTCTTAGGAATAGACTTGAGCACTGATGGCCACACCCTCATCACCTATTCCCAGCTCTCAAACTGGGACCAATGCCCAACATGGGAGGGCTTCAAGGCCTCACCATTCACTGCTGGAGCACGAACCATCTCCTTTGATGAGAACCCTTGCGACTATTTCCAGACCGGTAAAGTGAAGGCAATGACACTATCTCTCTCTGTCTTAGTTGCCATCGAGATGTTCAATTCGCTTAATGCCTTGTCAGAAGACGTCAGCCTCTTGAGCATGCCTCCTTGGGTCAACCCTTGGCTTCTGTTGGCCATGTCAGTCTCATTCGCCTTGCATTTTCTTATCCTGTATGTGCCATTCCTTGCTCAAGTGTTTGGAATCGTGCCCCTTAGCTTCAATGAATGGCTTTTGGTATTAGCGGTTGCTTTCCCTGTTATCCTCATAGATGAAGTTCTCAAGTTCATTGGAAGGTGTAGCTCTTCGAAGGTTGACAGTCATTCTTCAAAACGCAAAGATGATTGATTGATTTGGTTTCTTCATGGAGACGCTGACTTTTATTGAGATAATCTGTTCTGGGATCTCAATTCACATTGAAATTGAATTGTTTAGGATTCTAGTACTCTCTCAATATTGAAGCACTGGGAATGTCAGTGGATTGTTTACAATTTCACAAGCGATTTTTCGTAATTTAGCAAATTGCTGTATTACCAGTAATTTTTTTTTAGGTGATTCTGTTAGTGCAGTGCAGCTTAGATTCATGTTAGTACGCTTTATTTGCCAAGTGCGGATGGAGCAATTGTACTGTTATAAATGAGACCAAAAGTTTTGGGGTCGATGCTTTATAAATAATTGACATTTTCAGGTGACTTAGAATCAGATTAGTTTGTAGCGGGTGGTGTCTAATGCAGGATCGCCCAAGTTCAATTATTTATTTTTATTTTTTGCGAATTGTTTATGCAGGTTCACTTATTATTGTCGCAACAATTTGGCTGATCTTTTCCTAGGCAATTATCATGGCATTTTGTTTCGATGTTTCATGGTTACGGATGCTGAAATTTATCTTCCAAGGAAATATGTTTGATGCTATACAGAACTATAAACGTCGTCTTTTTTGGGGGTAAATTTGGCCCGAGTCTGCTTCATTATATTTGGACTAGATATCTCTTGTCAACAAGGAGTTACGCATTATAAACCTGATTATGGAAAAAGAAGTAGAAAAACAAAATGCGACGATATTTGTTGTCTCGCCAATTTGGCTGCATTTGCTGTAACTTCTCCATTCATAGCACAGACAATTCATCATAAATCAAACGATGCAGCTTTTATTACAAGTGATTTGGTGGCAATGTCCGTCGTTATTACTGCATTACCACCTTTTGCTTACCGGCAAATTCTACTTCCTACCAATCGAACCATCTCTTATACAGAAGTTGATCTGATTTTGATAATGTTTCAAATGCAAAACTCTGAAGACACAAACATGTGATTTTTATCAAGTCTTTGTACAATACATTCATTAAGAGCGCGCACGCTGAGCATATTGTTTCCTCAAAAATAGCTTAATTGGAAGGTATCAAACAATATACTGAAAGAGGCATACCACAAGCACCAATCTCGATACTTACACCCTGAGAGAGTTTGAACTTTCATGCTTAATTACATAAAACTAAGTAAAAATTGGGTAAAAAAAATCATTCACCAAACCATTCCAAACGGTAACATAGACGGACCACACTTACCTTCCTTCAGACTTGATCAATTGGGAGAAAACCCTACTCATGGAAATCTCCGAAAGATCGTCATTCGTGGATCCATCAACATTCCCCTCAACTCTAACACTCTGAAGAGTACCGATATTTTCAACTTGGGAAGAGAGCTCAACGATCCTATTGATACTATTCACCTCCGAAACACTCGAGTCCACCTCTTGAAGTTGCAACGCATACTCCAAGTTCCACAGTACATCCCCCATTGTTGGCCTCTCAACTCCATAATCAGCCAAGCATTTTTCGACAGTCTCCCCAAATTTCCTCAAAGAATCGGGCTTTATACTTCCAGCAATTCGAGCATCCACAATTTGATCCAATTCTCCTCTCTTGAGCCACTTCATGCCCCATTCAGCCAAATTCACCATCTCTCTCGGTAGTGTAGGATCAATCACCGGTCTTGCGCAAAGAACTTCAAGCAATACAACACCAAAAGAGTAAACATCAGATTTATCAGTTAACTGTTGTCTTCTGAAGTACTCAGGATCGAGATATCCAAAGCTTCCTTTGACCGCAGTGCTTACATGGGTCTGATCGAGCTCAGGCCCAGTCTTTGATAAACCAAAATCAGCGACTTTTGCCAAGAGAGTCTCGTCAAGGAGAATGTTTGCAGACTTGACATCTCGATGAATGATGGCTTTTGCTGAGCCTGTGTGGAGGTAATGAAGCCCTCTTGCAGATCCAATGCAAATCTCAAGTCTTTGCTTCCAACTGAGATTAGGGAGGTCAGAGTTATATAAATGGCTCTTGAGAGATCCTTTCTCCATGTATTCATACACAAGAATCATCTCGTTCCCTTCATCACAAAACCCGATAAGGGAAACTAAATGTCGATGGCGCAATCTAGAGAGAAGCTCGATTTCAGTACGGAACTCATTGAGGCCTTGTTGAGATTTTGGGTTTCCTCGTTTCACTGCAACTTTGGTGTCATCTCTTAGAACTCCTTTATAAACTTTGCCAAAACCTCCAACTCCAATCACCCAATTTTCATCAAAATTATTAGTAGCTTCTTGTATCACAGTGAAGGAGAATCGATAGCCAAGATTCGCATTTTGACCTGATGTAGCAGTTGTTCCATTGGATACTCTACTGCCTACACTGTTTGTAGTCATACCGTTAACCGAGAAAGGAACCCAAGTCTTCGAATGTTGCTTTGTTGCAATTTTCCTTCTTCTGATAAGCAAAATTGCGACAACAACTAGAATTAGCGCAGCTATTGCACCAAAAACAGCACCCAATATGATACCAAGATTACTCTTTGATCCAGAAGAAGCAACGACAATAAAGGCACCAGAGCTATTCATGACCTTCATAATCTCAAGCCCATTTAAAATTCCATCAGGCTCAGAACTAGTATCAATTGAAGGGCCAATACTAACTGTAAGTTTAGTAGTCCCTTCAGAAGTCGGTACAACAAAATCTTGGTAAACTGCGGTGGCGAGGGAGCCTAATGTCAAACTGGAGATATCAAAATCGTTCAACGCAGATTGGGTTCCAATGTAAACATCAAACAGGAGATTATGCGCTGCTATACTAACTATATCACAGAAATGCATTCTCACAAAGTATAAAGAACTAGCATCAACATCAAATTTCCACGTCACGTTGAAGATAGCATTGTCAGTCGACGCGTTGGTCGGTGCCAATTCTGTACAAGTAGCATAAACGATATCAGGTGCGTCTTCCCGTGTCACTCCTTGCATATAACTGATCTGACCCGAGAAGGATTTGGATTGCGATAGATTCGGATCAAGAAGGAACTTCTCATCCTGAAACCAAGTTCTCGAAAGAGTATCGTTGTTGGGAAAAACTTTAGGGCCCCCCATGTTGATTCTATAAACGGTCTCCAATGTTTTCTCTAACAAACCCTTGTAGTTTCCACTCGCGCTTCCGTTTCCCACGGGGTTGATCGCTTGAACGGAATCAGGAATCAGGTCGTCGGGGACCGAAACGACCTCCAACGCGTTGACGAAGGAAACGGTGGAGGATTCCGACGGAACGAAGGATACGATGAGGTCGCTATCCGTAACGTTCAGCAAGAACTCCTTGAGAACCGCGGTCGGGGACGGCTGGAAATCGTTGAGGAGGAGGGCGCCCTGGGTCGTGACCGAGAACGTGGAGTTCGTGAGGTTGAAGGATTTGGATTGGAAAGGGAAGAAGTAGAGGCGGACGAAATGGCGACCGGGTTCCTGGATGGAGAACGAATAGGACGAGGGGCCGACGAAGACGCGGGCGGTTTGGTAGAGCTCCGGCGGGTCGAGGCGGGTCGAAGGACGAGACCGAGTTCGAGCTGGCATTGGCGAAGGTGGAGTTTTTGGTTGTCACGGTGGCGTAAGCGGACGAATCAGCCGCGAAAGTTCGACCGGCAACGGTCACGTTCGTCGAAGAACCGCAGTCTATCAGGTAGTTGTCAGCAGGGGTGAAGGCGTCACAGGCACAAATCAGGCACGCGATCGGCAAGAAAACGAATCCCAATTCGTGATTTTTGACGCCCATCTCAGAAATACGCGGGGGTAGTAAGGAAACGAACCCGAGCCTTTTGAGGCAGAAACCCAAAACCCCAGTTTTAAACCGAATAGCTCAATTTCAAGTCGCGCCCACCTCTTCCGGCGATTTGGTAAGCAGGGAGGCCCCGTGACGAGCACCGTGCGGGGAGCAGGTGAAGATCCAATTTTGGGTTTCTGCAGCTGGAAAAGGAACGATTTTGAGAGGAAAGAAAGGGGAAAGGTGTCACCTTTGAACCTCCTCTCGAAGCGGCTACTGATCTTCAGCGCAAAATCCGAGATTTCTCTTGTTTTCTCTCTCTCTTTGTTTCACAATCTCTGGGAGCTACAAATGGATGCTGCAAATTTTGGAGAGTGAGAGAGAGAGAAAGAGAGAGATTAAAGTACAAAGGAAAACTGCTGCTGTATCTTATTATAGGCTCTTAAAAAAATAAAAATCAAAAAAAAAAAAAAAAAAACGGGGAGGAATGGTGGCTGGGGGGCCCCCCCCCAACCATATCTCAAACCACACCCCTCTCTCATATGCTATAGTGCACCGGGCCCCACATGAGATTTTAAAATTTTCCTTAAGGAGGAGGATATTCTCAGCAGCTGCCCAGTCAAAAGATGCCACCTGACATTTGAGGAAAAATTTAATCAAATAGAAAATTCGGATTTCACAATAAAAAGGAGAACAAGAAGAAATTTTCGAAATGGCCTCAAATCAAATTTTTTTCTTCTAAAACTAGACCTTACGTTTTTATTACGGGAACACACTCACTTTTCGGTTTTGTCAGTACCGTGGCCAAAAAGCGAGTCTATTTTTTTAAAACACCTTCCTAATTAGACGGGGTTGCCAACCCGACTAATTTAGACCTCAGTTGCAACTTGCAAATTAGTCGGAGTTGGCAACCCCGACTAATTAGGAATGTGTTTAAAAAGTAGACCTACTTTCTGGCCATGGTGCTGACGTGGTCAGAAAGTGATTCTGTTTCTGTAATAAAAACATAAAAAGGTCTACTTTAAGAGAGGAAAAAGTTGGTTTGAGGTGATTTTGAAAGTTTGTTCAAGAGAACAATTATGTGAAAAAACATGAGATCTTTATTTGTTGTTTCTGTCCCTCGATGGAACTTTTCGCTTTCGATGCCTTCTTAAGCCCATACAGGAAACAGCGCCTATCAAACATAGCCTCATCTCATCCGCAAGTTTTTTTCGCACCCACTACCGCAAGCCCCCCCCTATTCAGGTGGGCACTCCACGTGCGCCGCAAATGCAGGGGCCACTCGATTAATTCGCCCCCCCCTTCGTTCTTGTTTGTATCGTAATTGACTGTCAAATATTTCCAATTCGATATGTTGATTTTTAAATTTGACGTTTCTAATGAAAATTGATGTTTATATTCTTCGCAAACATAAATATATAGCAATGTAGAGATAAAAAATGTTCATAGTTGTCATTCGGCACAATACGAAGATATATAGTTAAGTTTTAGGGGTTTTGGACGGAAATCATATTTACTTTTACTAAAATTGATAAAAACTACCGTTTAAATTTTACGCACATAAATGGCGCTCCTCTACGGCATTATAGCTTATATTTGATCTTAGACGTTGAGCTAACTCAAGTTTAGCATGCCTAACCTCACAAATGTGCTCGTGCTTGATTGAATCACAACTAAATTAATCTAGGTCCAAACCTATGTTTTCCTCTATTACCATAACTCTAACCTAAATCCATGAATCTTGCCACCTAATCCCTAGAAGCTATGGATACCTCTTTGTGATGTTAACTACTACATGTAGTAGTTAAAAGCGCGAACTTATTTAATGAGATCCTAAAATAATTAAGATTTATATAATAAAATTGACCTCTCCGTTATAGTGAACACGTTTGTTGATACATGCACAATATTTTGTGATTGAGGCTTGGTCAAAGTCAATCTTGAACAAAGCTAGGATTTTGGCGCTAATGGCGAGATTATGATTAACTAATTCTTTTTTTGTGAGGATTAAGAATTATTTAGAGGATGTTGTGTTTGCAACTTGAGGACAATATATAAGATTGTTTAGGTTATTGCGGCAGGCATTTTGGAGTAATTTGTTATCAAGATGAAGTGCCTTTCAATCCATAAATTAATTAGAAGAACGTTTTATACGGAAAGATCCTTTTTTTTTTGTCTTAAGCTTTGATCATAATTTGCAATTACTGGAAATAAATAAGAAATAGTTTGCCTTCTCCAATACTAAATAATAATAATAAATGCACATGTTTACGTTATTTTAGGGTTTCAATATTCAAGAAAAGTTTATTTATAAAATATTGTTATGTCCATAGAACTTATAGTATAATGTCTTTATTGGTTGTGACAGATTAATTAGTTGTTTCTCATTAAAATTTTATCTCATTAGAATTGTTAATTAATAATATACTATATATTATTTAATATTGGATGAGACTTTAGAATTCATCGCAAAGGAAACTCAAAGATAAACCTATCATGAATTATCAATTAAATTTTAAATGATAATAAAATGCTCTTTCTAGAATGATAATTTTCTATTTAATTTGAATTTTGATTCATAATAACATACCTTTGTAAGGGAAAATACCTTTTAAATACCTTTTAAATATCCACATAATGAAAAACCTAACAATTTATTAGTATAATAAAGATTCAAATAATTTTTTCCCTAGAAAAATACGTAAAATATGGATGGCTAGCTATTTTCTCTACTTGTTCTCATTTTCAACACTGGGATCCAATATTGACGGCTCCAACTAAAATACAACTCTCGACGCGGTTGCGTGACATTTGGTCTCACTTTTGCAAGTTGCAAAAAATATAACTTGGCCAGGCCCACTGAATAAATAAATAAATAAATTTAAATAAATAAACAAACAATTATTCCGACCTTTGAAAAGAGACAAAAGTGGGCGTAATGGTGCAAAGATTGACGACGGCTAATCGCATAATCGCATATAGACATTTATATATGCTTATGAAAAGATATTTATATAATAATAATTGGTGTCCATCATTTATTAGCGTTTGCTCTACTTAGGTTCTATTCGTAAGAGCCAGTGCAGCAGCCACCTAAGGGGACTCCTAAGTCCTATGTGGCAAGGAAAAGCTCCCAAGACCTTCCAATAAGCTCTTAAGAAAGCTCCTAAGTCCTAGTTGGCGGTGGGGCCCACCATGGAGCTCCTAAGAGCTCCACAAATTTGTGGAGCACTTGGGAGCTCCTAAGGGGTGGGCGTCCATTAAAAACTATTTTTTATTAGATTTGTTGTTTTAAAATATATTTGTAAAATGTTATTTTTAGGAGAATGGATTTTTTTAATAATATTTGAACTCCTAGTTAGGAGTTTGTTGGAATATTTATCCTAGTAGGGAGCTCCTAAGTGGGCCCCATGCTTGAGAGCACTCCAACAAGAGCTCCTTACTAGGACATTGCTGCACTTGCTCTAACAGAGTGAATGCCAGTATAGTATCCGTTGCGATCATTCTTCATACATAATATTTATATATTTTTATCCTTACTAAGCGTAAATAATAAAAATAATATGTAACTAATGCTCAAGTGTTTCTTATTTCTGGATTTGCAATTATAAATCTTTAAAGCTTACAGGCCATATTTTTTTTTTGAAAATGTTCTATTGATACTTCCTTGAATTTAGATATTATTTTGCATGAAGAAAATTAAAAAAATTGATAATAAATTCGTATAAATTCCAATTTTGCATGTTTTTAAGCGCTACTTCTGCATCGCGTTTGAAATGATTTCATAAATCAAGATATCCGCTTAATATTTGCATATTAATTCTGTTTTTTTATTAGAACGTTCAATGATTCTATAAATGTCTATATATACACTCGGGCTAGTAGTATATTATATGCATTTGGTGATTTTAATGAAATTCAAACGTACATCGAATTAATTACTTATAAAAGAAGTATATTATTTGTAGGTTGTTGCTACAGGGACCCAAATAGGGGACCCAAAGCATGAGACATGTGAGGTGTCACCATCCGGTTGCATGATACACTGTTCAGTGCATCATGCAACTGGATGGTGACACCTCACATGTCCCATGCCTTGGATTCCTTATTTGGGTCCGTGAGACATTAATGTTATTTGTATGATCATGCTGTAATCGAGCTACTCCATTAATGGAGAAGAATCACAGCTAAGGGCGAAGAAGATTATATTCTTGGGGACAGTTCACAACCCTTGGTTTTAGGTGTAGAGTAGAGGGGGTCAAAGTTTGCCTCACAACACGCAGTTTGTTTTGGTTAAGTCTGAAATAAAATAGACAATGAAAAAGATTGATACGCAATCATTGATGATGCTATGATTGTAATAATTGTTAGGACAGCGTGGACCCGAAAAAGGACGAAAATTCTGCGCCAGCCAGCTAAGGAAATACCAAATTCAAGGATATGTACGTACGTGATGTAAACACAAGTTATTCTCGTACGATCATACGGCGCCTATGAGCCCCTTCATACGTACGATCATACGGCTATATATGAGCCCTTCATACGGAAACGTAGGTAATCAATATATGAAATTTCCGTCCATCGGATTCATAGTCTTTTTAAGATAGTACCTTAGATGAGTATTGATGATATATACTCACTAATTGTGTGTTTTTTTGAACCATTTTATCATGATGCTCACGTAGAAGTTAAGACTTGAGAAATCTATTAATTGCTGTACAGATTTTACATCTTATCATTTACAACACCGAGCATACATTTTATCATAATGCTCGCGTAGAAAGACTTGAGAACCCCATTGCTGTATATATAGGATTAACGTTCTGATAAGATTTATATTCATCGATCCAGAACCATCAAAGATTTGAGAACTAACAAATGGAGCACAACACAGTAATTCTTACGAAACACCTCAAAAATGAAAAGCCGTTGGGACTGGTCTCATGCTTTCTGGACATATATTATCGTTAGAAAATATTATATGATTCATTGACTTTATGAAAAGGCACCCACATTCAACATAAGTTGATAAGAACGTAAGTTATCACTAAAGTGGGGACGTTTGGAAGCAAAAGGGACCATGAAGATGAAGATAAAGACGTAGTGCATGAGTCTAGTGCTGGTCTGATTAATTGAGAGCATTTCAGTCACGACCAACCTCATGAAAACACTACGTGCAAGCAAATCCGTGGCACAAACTAAAAAGCAAATTAGGTTAAATTAATTGAAGACGAGTTTGTAATATATTTTTTGATTTTATTTTTGATTTGTGGATCGCAGTCTCGATCAAACTCTATACGTGCATCAATGCGTGGTAGACGCTTGAGAAAACTAGAGTTCGGAATCAAATTTGCAATATTTCGTTCGCTAATCAAGCAGGAGATAATGGGCTGAGCTAATATTCCAATTTCCGATGGCTGTG